GTATTTGATATTGCTGGCGTATAGCAGCTTTGGAATTTCGAACACTGGAGCGGGGCTACGTCGAATCTATTTTGGGCATCGAATCGCAAGTACGGAGGAGAATATGTGTAAAAGTAGCCTCACGTGACTACAATAAAGCACGCTGTTGAGAAAACTCGATCATTCCAAGTACTGATGCAAATTGCAAGTGCGAAGGGATCGAGATCCTGTCGCGCGCGACGCCCACGTGGTAGACCGCAGCGTACAGCCATGGCATTCCGAATATGACTGCACGGCGCGTCAACGGCTCAGAGATAATGCGCGTGCCGCCGACACCTCCAAAGCCTAAGTGCCCTGCGATTGCATCCGGTGCGATGCGACGACATTGAAACGCGACGACGAGGGTGGTGTTGAGACAGAAGTTTAGTCATGCATATGCCGGGAGACTAGTGATGCGCAGGGCTCGTTTTTCGACGGTCACGGGACCCACGCGATACGATAACCACGGCAGTCAGCGGATCGCACTCTCCGGCAGTCGCGACAATATTCTTGTTTTCGTTTGCAGCAGCTTCTCTCCGATCTCCGTTATGTATGCACACATACCAACTTGCTTTGCAACGCTGTCCGTACCCTAATTCCTCGGCAGAGGGGTCCGGCCGGCTGTGAAGCGAACAGGGTCGGTATGCACTGGTGACGGACGGACAGACGGGCCAGATACTCTGGTGGGTCTACGAAGCACCCTCCCCCGCATTGATTACGGACGAGGCCCCCAAGTTCCTGGCAGATGGGATGCAATGTCGGAGCTACGGGGTTAGTTACCGGCTCAGAACGGGATTCTGTGTGTACGACACGCCTCCCCCCTGCCTTGCACCATCTGCGCGGGCTAGTGCTTGATTTTCTCTCCCAGCTCGACCAGAGACCTGGGAAGGTCGTCGACACCCAAAGTGCGGGCTGTCAGTGGCTGTGAGTTCCCACGGTTGAACTTGTCTGCCGCCACTGTTTCCATCCCAGCGCGGATGTCCCGAGAATCGAATCCCGATTAACCTGTCAAAAAGAATACCGTGCTTCCATGCTGGGTGGGTCCTGTGGGTGGGGTGTGCTGGTACAATGGTAGGCAAGCCGGGTGCAGTATCCTGGTCGAATATGCTGTGATCCATCGGTGCACTAGGCCGAACAATCGCCCCAAGCTGCACTCTATAAAACGTTAAGCCACTCGGGGCATAGTCCAGACAGAAACCCAACAACAACACCCACCCATCCACCCACTGCAAGATGCACACCTTCGCTACTCTCCTCACTCTCCAACTCGCACTCGTGTCCGTCGCCCTCGGTGCGCCCACCGCGAACGCCCCGCGCGCTGCCTGCGCGGACGTCATGGTCCGTGCCCCCATCCGATTGACGCGTTTCGCTCCGTACTCATTCCCTGCTGCAGGTCGTATTCGCGCGCGGCACGACCGAGGCCGCGCCGATCGGGAGCGTCGCGGGGCCGCCGCTCCAGTCGGCGCTCACCAGCGCGCTCCGCAGCTCGGGCAAGACCCTCTCGTTTGCGGGCGTCAGCTACCCTGCCGACGTGCAAGGATTCTTGGCCGGCGGCGACCCGCAGGGCTCGAAGACCATGGCCGCCGACGTGAGCTGCTTGTATTTTCAGCACGTCAGAGAACTTGGTTGGCTAAAAGTTCGTTTAGCTCACGAACGCGGCGAACTCGTGCCCGAAGGTGCGTCGATCGTCACCAGAAGGGTCTTGGTTCTGAGTTCTGATGTTTACGCCAAGGCCGCGCTCGTGACGGTCGGCTACAGCCAGGGCGGCCAACTGGTCCACAACTCGGCCAAAATGCTGTCCTCCAACGTATCCTCCCGGATCAAAGCCGCAGTGATCTTCGTGCGTGGCTCATCCTTGTCTATACAACCCGAGGGATACTGAGACGGGGTGCACACAGGGCGACCCCGACAACGGCACGGCCGTCGCGGGCGTCAGCGCGGCCAACACCAAGATCATATGCCACACCGGCGACGACATCTGCGCGCACGGAGACAACATCCTGCCGCCGCACTTGTATGTTGTCTCTCCACCCAAGTTGATACGCATGGGTCTCACTTTGTTTGATAGGACGTACGGCCAGGATGCGTCGGCTGCGGCTGCTTTTATTGTCAGCAAAGTGTAGTTCGATTAGGAGATTCTAATCCTTCAAGTTCGCAACGTGAAGGAGGAAAGGAAATTATGGGCATTGAGAATCACTGAGTCCCTGGATACGAATGTTTAGTCTATGCACTTTGTAATATCGTCTATAAGAGCTCGAAGCAAACATTCATTTTGTTTTCTTGCACCATCTTATTCATCAATCCGCTTGAAACCTCAATGACTAAGGCAAAGATTTCTTAATTTTACAAGTTCGATCCTTGTATATCACATTCCTATTCCTATTTACCAAAAACAACACTTCGCCCCCAAAGGCCAAATCGAAAACACGTGAGGTGGAGGTTGAACCCAGATCACGTGCCGATGTTCAAACCTTGCTGACGATAAACGCAGCCGCGGTGGGCGTGTCCACCCGTAGGTCCTGAAATAATTTCATCAAATTACAACAGAAGAACGTGGGAGGTTTGTGGCAGCAACGCACAGATGGGGCGGCAAGACAAGGTCCCCGTGCAGACAGATGTCGTCGCCGGTGTGGCAGATGACGAGTGTCTTGGACGCGCTGACGCCAACCACTGGCGAGCCGTCGTCGGGGTCGCCCTGTAATTTCTTCAGCTCTATTTTATTTCTACTGAGGCAGGGGTTTCAACGCACGAAGATGACTGCGGCATTGATGCGGGCCTGCACCTTGGCCGACAATAGTTTGGCCGAGTTGTGCACCAGCTGGCCGCCTTGGCTGTACCCAGACGTGACGAGTGCCGCCTAAATGCAAAAATAGATAACATCAGCAGCGGCTTCTTCGAAATGCCCGGAAACGAACGTACGTTCGGGCACGAGTTCGCCGCGTTGGTCAACTGCGAAATACGCGTCAAAACGAGCCGATCTGCAGCAGCAGAATCAGAGGCGACTTGCATCGTTCGCCATGTTCTGCGAGCCCTGGGGATCCCCGCCCTCCAGAAATCCGGCGACGCTCGCAGCGTAGGTGACGCCGTTGAACGCAAGTGTCTTGCTCCCCAACAGGCCCTGCAGTGCGGACTCCAACTGGGGGCCGACGAGACTGCCGATCGGCGCAGCCTCCGTCGTCCCGCGCGCGAAGAAGACCTGGGAGATGGGGCGTGAGTGCGCGCGTCGTCGGCGCTGCAACGCGACTAGTGCTGCTTACGATCACGTCTGCGCAGGCGGCGCGGGGCTCGGTGACTGGAGCCGCGAGCACCACCGCAAGAGAGGCGAGGCCGAGGAGAACAGAGATTGAGAACTTCATGTCTGGAGAGGCTGCTGGTTACAAGCACGAATCTCCTACTAGTGGCACTACACACCCAGCTTTTATATCCTTCGAGAGGGTATCTTGAGTTTATCCCCGCGAGGACGACCGGCTACGGCTGCTGTCCCTGGACCGGAAAATAGTCGTCGCACGTCAGCTCCTAGAGCATGGGACCCGACTTTGAGCAGCGACCGTGAAAAAACATCACAGGTGCCCACCGGCTTCGGCTATTGCAACGACCAGGTTTGCCGTCGCTCGAATCGAACTGGATTTGCACTAAGACAGAGATGTGGATGACGCTTGAAAGGAGCCATCACATGAGAGAGATCAACGCGGGTGCTGTTCACGGGTGCAGATGATCTTAGGGACGTTCGAGAACAATGTTCTGGCGGATATTTTCGTCGATCTCTAGAGTACTATTCAACGAAGATAGAAGATCAGATCAAGAAACAAGCCAGGCAGACTCGGGGGCGCTTTCACGCCTGTTTAATCCAAGCCCGATAGGATGAACGCCAGTCGATGATGGTCAGTGGGCGCTTGTGGGTGTCATCGCTTAGTGTTTATTCAAAATACGTCAGTTGCCCCGCTTGTTCCATCCGCAGGATTGGCGCTACGCAGATCGCCCGGTTTGGGGCCCGATGTCCTGAACGGCCCGACATTCGGATCCCGGCGTCGGAGCTTGGCTCCAGTTGGGGCACATCTCAAGTTCTTTTACTTACTGCACCCGGAACACGCGGGATATTTTCGGACGACTTTCGCCTTTCCAACAGGTATTTTCTTGAGCTGCGCTGTGACGTCACGTGAAGCAGGCCAGAACACTGATTATTCAACTCTTGCATGCTTGTTGAATAAGGACGTGTCCTCAAATTTCCGGAATGATCAGGATGATCACATTGGATTTTCCAGTTAATGCTCTAATTTGGCTTTCTGGATAAATTATTCACCAGCCACTTTTTATCATCATATAATCTTCGGTCATAATAATTTCCGCTTTTCTGGGTTCTGGCTATACATTATTGTTTTGGATGCTGAGCTCCCAGGACAAAGACGGGAAAACTCCTGATGGGGCATCAAGCTCACAGAAGAGGGTTGATTTCCATGGAAGAACCTGTACCACCAATAGTCCTGGGAAAAAATGTTTTAAATAAATGGTGTGAGCTGCGCCATTGCAGTGCAGTGGCTATATGAGGGAGTGTTGTAAGAGTGTCTTATCACCAGTTTACCTAATCAGGATTTTATTGGCTTCAGGAGTTCCAGACCCATGGCGCATTTGCAGACCTATGAGCATCAATAGCACCCCCTAAGATTTGCTTAAACAAACCCAATACCTGATCGGATCAATGATGGTGAATGCGTCCAAACTGTAGTACTCATTGAAACTCCAGACGCACGGGACAAGATGATGAAATGGCTGAAATAGGCGATGGGCGCTGGACTATGGATTAGATTAGCCAACCCAGCGCCCCCGTCTAGTATTATACTTTTGCGGTTAGCATCAATCTAATAGTACTAGGATCTGAGATCTACGCAAATCCCCAATTGTGCAAGCCGCGCTACGGTGAAGCTGCACTAAAATATCGTTCACGAATCAGTTGAAGTTGCCAGATTCGTCATGTTGAGTCGTATTTGCTCCGGCTCCGACCGAGCACATGTCTCACGCGAAACACGGACTAATTCCGTATATCGCTCCACGGCTACCTAGCTCGAGTCAGCTCGGATCCAACCTTTCTCCCTCATCACAAACCAAATGGCGACCGAGATCATCGAAGACCCGCCGCACCTGCCGCCCATCCCGCGCTCGTCATCGTACGCCAAGCCAAAGGGCATCCTTAAGAACACGCCCCAACCACCTGCATCGACGGGCCAACAGCAGTGCGTCTGTCTGTCTGCGGGCCCAATCGCCCCGCAGAATCCTCTCCCGCGTTTCCGTGATGCTCACACCGCGCGCAGCCTGCAATGGGACGAGGCCAACATCGCGCTCACGGAGATCCAGAAGGACAGTCTCATGAAGATCACGGAGCCGAAGACGCCCTACGTCAGATATAACGCAGAGACGGACACCGTCGAGGGAGGTCCGTGCACACCCCTCCATCCATCCATCCCATCCGATTGAATACCGCATCCCACAGACATCCCCGGCCTCGACCTCGACAACGGGCAGTACGTCTGGACAAACGGCGCGCACGCCGGCGGGCCGTCCGACTCCCCTGTGATGGCCACGTCCCCTATGCCCTCCGAGCCTGGCAGCGCCATCGGCCCCGGATCCGGCCCCTCGTCGCGCCGCACGTCGTTCTCGAGCACGGGGCGCTCTGGCTCCCTGGGCCGCTCGGGCAGTGCCTCTGGGCGGTCGGGCAGCGGCGCCTCAAGCCGCAGCACGAGCTTCAACCTGCCGAGCGAGGCGCGCCACGAGATCCGCGAGGACGGCATGGGGCGCGCGGAGGCGCAGGCGGAGCTCGAGGAGGACGAGGAGATGGATGAAGAAAGTGCGTGCTCGCGGCGCTTGTGTGTGTGTGTGGGTTTGTGCGTGGCTAATCTCCTCCCTCGATAGCTGCTGCGAAGCACGCGGACTTTGTCCGTGCGCGGGGACGCCATTACTCGAACGAGGCGGAAGCGATGAAGGTGCGTGCCCGGCTCCCTTTCGTCACCCAGAGGGGACCTCACGCGCACCCTCCTCTCTAGCTCGCCGCGAAACTACTGGAGGAAGAGGATGCCGATTCCGAGGATGTGGAGGTGCCCCCGGTGCCCCCACTTCCCTCCAAGATCAACGGTATCGGGCACTGAACGCGACACGGAAAATTAGCGTAACCCAATCAGACGACCTTGTGTGTACTATCTCTGCTATCATGTTTCCTCTCTACAGGCTCAATGTTGTTGTTTTTGTGCTACCGCCAACTCAGTGGAGCATTCCGATTTACTTTACAAACTTATTCTTGGACTTGATCGAAATACAAATAGTTCCTTTTGGTACGATCGAATAACTACAGACAAAAAAGAGACATACATGGTACCGATACTAGCACAGTTACACAGACATAGTTACAAACACGCCAGGATTACAGTACTAGATATACAACCTTCCCCTCCGTCCATCAAAGTTCAAAGCAAAGCAACAAGGACACCAGAGAGCATATTACACAAAACACGGCTGCAAGTGAATGAGCCTGACAACACCAGGAGAAACGCACACTGAATGAAAGCCGGAATGAAGCAACGAATGACGACTGTCGTCCACCGGCAGGGAGGCGCGGAGTGGCTGGCCGCCCACCCGCTGTCAAGCCCACAACATCCCGAACGGTACACCGGGGACCGCGATCGAGGAAGGCTCCGTGGTCGGGGACGCCGACGACGCGTTTTCAAAATCCTAACATTCGTCACGCGCACGGGGGTCCAGTATTGTAATTTTGATGGTATAAGATAGAGGATAAAACAAGAACCGATCAGCAAAACAACGCTCAGGTCGGACCGCGGGGAGTACCTACATCGACTAGAACTAAGTCAGACGAACGGTTCTTATTGCTTCGCATCGGAAAACACGCACCATGCATACTGGGCAGCCGGCTCGTGTTGAGTCGCGGGAAAGACCCTGCCGCCTGTCGCAGCTGTCGGAAATCGTTGTTGGCATACGTCTTGGTCAGTCCCGTAGCCGCCGGCGAGCGCAGCAGGCCGGTCGGCGACGACGTGATCCCGAGGATATCCGGCGTCGGCGTCGTGCGGTTCGGCGTGCCGGGGACAGGCCTCAGACGCTCCTCGATCTCGCGCACCGAAAGCAAGAGCTGTGAGGGGAGCTCGACGGGCTGCGCGACCATGGCCTCGTCTTCGTCCCCTTGCACCTTCGATTTGATCGCATTCAGGCGCGGCGAAGGGCCGAGTTTCTGCGCGAGCTTGACGTAAAGCTGCACCAGCGCCGACGCCGAGATGCTCGACAAGAGCCGCAGACTCGGGTCATCTTGCTCAGTCAGCCATGTCAGGACATCCAACGTTGTCTGCGCTGCCTTGGGACTGGGGTCGCCGCGAGAGATCGCAAGCAGTGTCAGTCCGATTTCCCGTCGCATCAGCTGGCGCTGATGCTGATCCGATGGAAGCTCTCGCAGCACGCTCAGCAGCACAGCGGGCTCATGCTGGAACGCGCGCAGACTGCACAGCACAATCGCAAACTTGAGTTCGGGGTCCTGGAACTGGGCGGCCCGAGCAGTGAGGGACCGAATCAGGCGGTTCAGCACAGGGGATACGAGGTGGGCATCCAACATCTGAGTCAGGCACAGAGCAAGCAGCTTCGACAGCTCGTCGTCGGAAGACACAGCAGCGGCCATCCACTCACTCATCCCATGAGCGATCGTCGCCAGAAAGTCGAGACAAATATAGATCCAATGCAATCTGACGCGGTCTCGACCGTCGCTCTCGAGCGAGACCAGAAGTTGCTTCAGCTCTCCCGTCAGCAACCATTCCCCAATGGCAAGTTCTCCGCCGTCCAACTCGACAAGTCGTGCAAACAGTTTGCTCTTGTGCTCAGCATCGAGCAGCGGGAAGTACGCTTCAAGCTCGACAAGAACCATCGTCAAGTTCGAGTTGGGAAGTGCGCGGTCGATGAGAACGAAAAGTTGGCGCATTTCGGTGGTAGGATCTCGGCCGCTGTCAAAAACAGCGTGAGCATGCCCCAGAAGCTCGCGCAGGACTACTTCTGAGCCATTACGGTGAGGCTCGGCCTCGATCCCGTCGATAGTAAGCTTGTCGATAGCCTCGAGGCACGCCTGGCGCACATCCGCTGCCGCTTTCACACATTGCGAGAGCGTTTTCGCGGCGGTTTCAGCACACGCGAACACGGCAGCAATCCCAGAAACCAGCATCCTCATCTCGCGGGCGGGGATTGTCATCGCAGGCAGATTCGCGATGATCAGTCTGACTAGGTCTGCAGCGGTATAAAGGAGCTGGCTGACGAGAGCTTGGTCCATAGGCGCTGCTGCAAGCGTGAAGTGCGAGCTCAGATTTGTCGTCACATCCAAGTATAACTCGACCATGCGGCCAACCAAGCCATGAGCATCTTCGGCCCACAACGCTTCCAAAACACGCCACTCGCCGTCATCACCATCGTCCAGCTCCTGTTTCACGATGACAAGCGCCAGCCGGATAACGCGTAGTCGGGCAATGGGCCAGGGGAAAGACGGTTTCGCAACAAGCTCTCTGATAGCAGCCTGGAGACCTTCATCAACCAGCAAGGCGAGATGGCGCATCGTCATCAATTCCTCTTTCGAGATGTGGCTCATCGGCTGCTCGAGCTTCAGGACAGTGTCCACGAGCGAGTCATGCAATATCGCGCCAGGCTCTTCCATCAGCCTCGCGAGGATCTGTTCCGCCAGGATTCCTGATTGTCTCGGAGGCTCTCTGTCCGAGATCTCCCATTCCAGACGACCTGGGAACTGCCGCAGTAGGAGTAGCTGATTGACGATTTGCGAGTACCCGTCGACGTCTTGCCAGAGCTTGATCGTAGCGAGTGTCTGCTCAGCGGCGGCATCCTTACCGAGACTGTCCGCCCATGCCCACACGGCTAGCACACTGCCCACACCCATGTAAGCCCGGGTCCACATGACCAGGTCTTCCCGAGAGCCGATCTCGGCGCTGAGTCTCGGGCTGCCATTCGGGGGCGTCTGGGACAGCGCATGTGCGACGCTTGGATGCTCGAGCATATTTTGGAGCCAAATGGCCATAGACTGCTCCCCTTCACTGACATCGCTAAGCAGTTTTGCTGCCTCGCGCAGGTCCCCTGTCTGATTGAGAAGGACGTCTTCAAACGCAATCCAACGCTGCATTCGAAGTAGGATTTTCCCGGCCAGCACCCTGGTGTATCTCTTGGTATTCCCGTTTTGTTGTATGTGGTCGAGCGCTTCGAGGAACCAGTCGACATTCAGACGCCGAGTGATGTCGACGTTGGCTACCGCGTCCCAGAGACGTTGAAGTGTCGAGTGGTCGTTCATGGTCTCCATATCAAAGATAGATTCGAGCTCAAGATGCTTCTGCAAGCATGTTTCAGGACTTTCGCGCACAAAGCGGACCTCAAAAACGAACCAACAGTGCGCGAACCAGGCCAGAGTCCTGTGGAGCTGCGATACTGAGCAGCTTGGCGATCGAAAACGCTTGGTTGGCAGACTGTTCGAAAGTTGATGAGAACGACAGCAACTGATAGACAGACCAAGAGTTCCACCTTCGGACCAATCATTCCGCTGACTTGGATGGCAAAAGCGTTGAAAGTGTCCATCGGCAAGCCATCTCGGATAGGCCTAGCCATACGGTCCAGCACAGCGTCCAGGTCATCGACCATGTCCAGGTCGAGGTCCGCGTAGAGGTGCGGGAATTCGAGCGAATCCCAATCTTCGTCCGATGGTTTCAAGCAGAACATGAGACGCGCGACCAGTGGAAGAGGGCACTCGGAGATCATGGAGAGCAGTTGGTTTGCAACGGTGCATGGATCGACCATGTTCGCCGGGTCGACTCTCGACGAGACAGGTAGGGGTACAAGATCGGGAAGAGGTTGGGGGTCGTAGGGAACCAAGTCGTCAGACATATCAGTCGATGCAATCTCTCCATAGAGAGCCAGCGTGAGACTTTCGAACGCGCCCTTGACGATCATAAGACGCGTAGCGTACTGCAGTGGCTCAATCCATTAGGCACTTGGTCCAAGGCACGAGACACGCACCTCCATCCCCATATCCACGGAAAAGTCGACGAGGCCCCCGGCGTACGCGAGCGACGTCGGGACCAGCGCATTGACCGCGCGTTGCTTCTCTTTGGCTTCCGGCGTGCGCGGCAAGGCGTTGAACAGGATGTCGAGCGAGAACGCACTGGGTTCCGTGCACCTGGAAGCAAGAAGCTGGGTGTCAGCCACTCAATGCAACGCGACAGTCCAGAACCCGACGCACGCGATCAGATTCGGAGAATGGGCTGGGAACGGACGCGTCCCCGTGGGATAGATGCGCAGGAAATCGACGCGTATTGGCGCGGCGAAGCGGACCGCAGATATATTTGCGCCCTCACCCTCCGGTACTAGCGTGCAGCAGTGCAATAGGACCATGGGGATGAGGGCTGGCCGTAGCAGTGGGCAGAGCTTATCCAGATGAAATGACCCGCCTCACTACCAAACCAGGGCCGTCACGAAGCGGCGTCACATGTCCGTCACACGACCGCCTACCTTTTTAAGAACACGCACGTAGCTGCGGACCAAATTCTCCCGCAATGCACCGACCAGCGGCAGTACAGCTCCCAGCACTCGCTGTCGACGCAGCGAAACCGACATCAATGCGGACACGTCCCCGAAGTGCGAGTATCGTCAAGGTGGAGCAGGTGGGAGATGGGTCGTTGGAAGAAGCTCTGGATCAGAGCGCCTATGTCAATATCAATGCGAACTGGGTCAATGCTAAAGGTGGACCCTGTCTCTACGACAACGACTCGGCGGCGGCGGCTGACAGTGCTTCCAGGAGCATGGCTCATTCATATCGTGCTCATAGCCATTGGGAAAATGATCATTCAGACGATTCCTGGCATGACACAGCAAATCAGTTGGACACTCGTTAATCTCATCTATCTCGCAGTGCGTGTCCACCTGTTCCCTTACACGTCTATCACTCAAAAGATTTCCCCAGCTCTCATATCTGATGTTCCACTGGGTGACCGGCATACCATTCGGCAATGACCTGCACGCCGGAGCGTACGATGACTTGACATTATGGGAGCAGATCGACGACGGGGCCCAATACACACCTGCGAAAAAGTGGCTCTCCACCGTACCTGTTGTGCTGTGAGTGTGCCCACGCGTGATTCCAGGCCGGAGGGCTCACCCCGCTATTTTTAGCTTCCTCGCATCGACGCATTACACGAACTACAATCCCTGGCTATTCGCTATCAACGTCTCTGCTCTGATATTCGTGCTAATTCCCAAGCTGCCGCAGGTGCGTGGCGCCCCTGGTCGTATACATCCGCCACAAGCTCACGTCTGGACAGTTACATCGTCAACGAGTTCGCTTCCTCCAGGACGAAGCTTCTGGAATGGCCACCCCACTCACCGCATCCCGGCCTTCGACTCCCCTGGGAGTCAACTTCAAAGATATAACTGCGGCAAACTTCCAGTAGTATCCTGCACGGCCACTATTCGGGGCAACATCATCTTTGTAACAACACAGTAATTAGAGCAATCATAATGGACTTTATTAACTGGTGCTGACGTAGCGGATCTAAACAGTCGGCTATGTTGCGTAGACTGTAAGATGCCATTTGTCTATCTCATGCATCGCTTACTGCGTGTTTTCCCGACCAGAAGCCTCGTAATTAATGTTGACTAGATGAGCGGACTTGTCGGTAAACGACGTCGCACACGCGTCGGATTTGGCTCTCCGTTTCCTCGAATAGGACGTTGAGAATCCAAGTCAAAATCATCCGACATCTCCCGCTCTGCGCATGGTGGCAGTACAAAGAGAGCCGACCCTCTTCGGTGGTTCATCCTTACTTTGGTCAACGATGTAGCCTATGCGTGGACTGTGGGATCTTGTTCGACAGAATCCGTGGTCGCAGGGGCCCAACGATATTGCATCGGAGATCGGGAGGTCTCTGGTGCGTTCGAAGTTGGGTACTAGACTTCAGCCACCAGCCAAAGCTGGAGTATACGCCAAGACTGGAGGCGATGTTCATACAAACTGGGTTTTTCACAGTCTACACATTGGTCTTGTACTGTTGCAATCGCAATCTAGAGGCAGAAGTCAGCGGTCAGACACCGAAAGCGAGCCCAGCTTACAGATTGCGCAGTAACATCAAGATCGTCACTTTGCCTACAGCAGGAATATACATCGAGGTCTGTCAGGGGGTGGAGGATCAACACGCAAGTCGTACAGAACGTGGTAGATGCTGACCTTGTCGCGGACATTCTTCTCGAAATTCTTATCCGCAGCGACGTTGACACAGATGCACCCGTCCTTGAGCCAATCGGTTGCGACTTTGTACGATGCGCTCGGCACGGCGGAGATCACCACGTCGGATATCGCGAGGCACTCTTGGAGGGTGCTATTCGAGGGATGCACAACATGGTGTGGGTGGTATTTTCTGGCGGCGTCAGATTGCCCGCTCACTTGCGGGCGTTTCGTGTATTCCTGATCGGGGCGTTAGAACATGCAAAGCCAGAATGAGCCATGCGTGTACTTGGATGGAGTCAATGTCTACCGAGAACACACGAGCGCCGTCATTCGCAAGCAACGCCGCAAGCGGTCGTCCAACCACTTCTGAACTGGAAGCTCTCTTAGCACAATGGCTGAGGCTAGATGTTAGCGCTCACCGGTTGATGACGGTCACGGTGCGGCCATAGGCGCGATCGCCGTAGGGCAAGATCTTGTTGTACACGCCGATGTGCTCCAGACACTTGACGATAGCGAGTGGCGTACAGGGAAGAATCGATTTGACAGTTCCTGGTGGTGGGTTCTCGCCTTCGATGACAGCAACGGCAGTTGGGAGGCCGGACTTGAGCAGAGATTCTGGTTCAAGGAAGCGGATGCTGATATTCGCATGAGGAGAGAACGTCATGGGAGGCTGAATAGCTAGCTCACTTGTGGTACAGATTGTAGTGGAACTTGAAGTGAAGCCCCTCAACATCCTTATATGGAGAGACCACCTGGATACAGAATGAGCGCACGCCGCTAGATCAACGCGATAACGCGCCTGTTGGAGGTAGTGGTCCTGTGCGACGTCAGTAAAGAACTTCTACGCGCACAGGTCCGATATCACTCACTTGTTGAGGTCCGAAGATGGGGTAGTAGACCTTCACGCGAAATGGAAGAGCGATCGCGTTGGTTTAGCCCACATACACACCATGATCCCGTTGACGTTCGGATCTTCATTGGCCTCGATGATAGCCTCCTCAACGCCCTCCCCTTCCCCTGCTTCCTCTGAGAAAGCCGCACCAGTCCGTTTCAAGACAAAATCAAAGCCAAGATCTTCGCATTGCTTTTTTGTGAACTCGGCGTAGAACTTGCTGGGTGCCGAGGACGTAGCCAAGATCCCGACAAGTCGCGGTTTACGCGTCGTCCTGTCGAGGGCAGTCTTGACCTCATCGCGAAAGGTGTCCGCGATGGGATCCGCTTTCAACAAGAGTCCTTTCCCCGCCATCTGATACGAACCGTTGCGATATGAAAGGGAAACGCGAGATAGGAGTCATGTCAAATTTTTCGTTTACGACTGTTGAAGCAATTTGTTGCCCCATCAGGACTCGGCACGGAAGGTTACCTGGCTGCCTGGCTCGATCCAATACATCTCCGGCGAGTTCCTCCCCGAGAGGAAGATGAACCTGTCATGTCCTTTACCTTCCACTGGCCACGATTCTCAGACCAGTTCCACTACGATGCTATCCAGATGCTCAATACCGCGCTCAACAAGGGAAACAAACCTCCGATTATCGCCGACAAGATTGAGGTAGTGGAGTTGGAAATGGGAACCCAGGTGCGCTCACTCGACCCGCGCAGAGTTACTTTTTGCTCAGAGGACCGCAGCCGCCTGAGCTTGAAATCCGGGATATCGGGGACTTGACGATGGACCAGTTTCGTGGAATATTTAGGCTCACCTACGCCGGAGATGCGCATTTGGTTCTGCGAACCAAAGTCCAAGCCAATCCACTCAACCACAAGCATCCCGACATTGACTTCATGACTGGCTCTCGAGGGATGCTCGCTGCGAAGGAGGCGCTGGTGGTGCCCATGCTGCTCCGCCTATCGCACTTCAAACTCAGCTCGTATGTTGTGCTGGTCGTCTCGAAGCAAAAGGGCATCACCATCGTCTTCAAAACCGACCCGCTCCAGAGTGTGGACATCAATAGCACCTTTGATTCTATCGCTGTGATTCAAAAATTCATCCAGCGCGAAATTGAAGGCCAGCTGCGCCAAATGTTTCGAGAGGACCTGCCCGGTATCATCCACCGTCTCAGCCAGCAATGGGTCAAAGCGAAAGTGGAGATTCCGCCTCCCCGGCCGCACGTTGGGCATCACAGCGCACCACCCAGCCTAACGCGACAAAACGTGCACATGTTAAACTCTGCCTCGTTACCTCTACCTCGGACCCCATCGCCTTCCATCAGCCGTACTCAGCTCACGCGGCGAACAACACGATCCTCGCTTCCGCGGCGCACATCCACGCCGCCGCCAGCACCGCTGCTCATCGATCCTGATGTGTTCGATCCTACGTACGGCCTCCGTCCGGAAGGAATCCCGGCGAAAAGTGCCTTCCGTGGCTTCCAGAGCCTTTTTTCCCCGTCACGGGGCCTCGCTGATCTGGAGGAACTCGACGACGAATCGGCGGGTCTCTCGGAAGACTTGGACACGACGTATGACGTGCTCGACTGGGGTGGGATGAGCCCCAGTGTTGCGGAGGCCCATGAGCAGGAGTATGAGCGCATGCCAGCGGTTGGCGGCGGTACAATTGTCCGGCCTCGTGTCATCCATTCGCAGTCTCCTCCAAACGTTTCTTCACATTCCACCGCGGCAGTCTTCTCTGCACAAACTGAACTCTCGTACAATCCCTTCTCCGCTGCCTTTGCCTCGGCTCCGTCACCCAGCTCGTCTCGATCGACGTCCCCGTCGCCTTCTCATTCTTTGTCGACACCGCCATCTTCCACATCCATCTATCACGAGTTGACTGAGCCCCAGTCCCTGAGCGCCAACATCGCGCACGAGCTCTCGATGCTCGCGCATTCCAATCACACCTTATCGCCCTACACCAGGTCCCTTTCCCACTACGCGGTCCGCAGCGGCCCGCCACGACCCCCGGCGGTGGGCACGGCTGTCGCTCGCAAGGGCAAACGACGTCGAACGTACCGGATTGGCGGCGGGACCAGCAAGGCTCGGGCTCCGGATGCTGCCGAGGTAGAGGGGGAAACGCCTGCGCCCGGCGAAGAGCTGTCTACGTCGGAATTCGATGCTGGGGACATGGATGTGTATTTTCGGCGCATTGATCTGGATGGGGAGTATGGTTCGACGGGGGGCCATCCCTCGCTACGACATCGGCGTTCTTCTCGAGCCACGTCCTTGGGCTGAATTTGTCATTTAGATCCTATTATATATTTCATCCATGTCGTGTCTTTAGATTACCCCCCACTTGTATTGGTATGTAACACCTTCGAATAAGGACATTCTGCCGGTCCTCAGTGGCCGCTTACAATCGCGTTCACAATTTCTCAACCATGACCCAAGCCGTCTTGGATTGCCGAGTCCCTGGTAGGCGTGTCGAGTTTGCCATGATCAGGACCTCCTGGGTTGGACAAGCAGATTGGCAGTCAAGCCGAGTGACTCAAGGGCATCTCTGCCGCTTGTGATGAGGGGAATCGTAGCGAATGTCGTCAGCCTACTGGCATTTCCTTCAGAAGGACCGCGGTGCCTCGCGTATTTTCCGACAAGCCTTCGAAGAGTTTGACCGTTCCTACGCCGGTGTGTAACTCTCACGGTCATCACACACGCACCGTTGGCACGCTTCCTGTCAAAGATTCCGGGGCCGAGCTGCGGCTCTTGCTGGCGCCGTGCCTTTCCTGGAAACTCGCCATCTGCCACACTGGGATGATGCAATGCGGATAAGCACATGTCTGGGCGATGCACGGATATAGACCAATCAGTACACAAGTTGTCGAAGCCATTGTCCGACGTCTGAGAGTTCCTGGTCATTCAGAGTGTGGCCCAGTCCTGTATACTCTTTGAATGACAGCAGCGTTTTATCCTTGGCTTGGCCCTCAACGACAGAAATAGCCATGATCTCCGACAAATACGCGACAGATCGTCGAGCCGCCTTGATTGGGATTACCGAGTCGGCTGCGCCGTGGCCCCAGAATATGGGCAGGCTGGAGGCGTGGATGGATAATCTCTAAGGACCGATTTACCCCTGGAGCACTGGAGGAAGGACAATTGTCACGCACCTCACGAAGACTGAAGCGCAATGGAATGAATGCACTCAGTATAAGCATTCCAGCAAGTCTGCGAGCCTCCGAGAGTCCAGATACAAGAGCCAGGACTCCACCCTGCGAGAATCCTCCGATTACGATCCGTTCGGAGGGTATTCCGGAATCAATTTCGGCCGAGATGAGACTCTTGAGGGACTCGGAGGCTCTGAGTATCCCTGCTTCGTCTTCATCCTCACTTGACCAAGATTTGATATCAAACCTGTATGATTGGGGGATTTAAAATAAGAAAACGGCCATGAAATGTGAACCTGACCCACCACGCAGGCATTACCATCCCGCCGTTTGCCGTCACTGGCCTTCTCGGACTGCAAACAAGAGCTCGGAAGCTGGAGAAAGTGTGGAAGAAGTGCACCTCTACCTATGGGGGAATATCCACTTCACATGCGGCATCGCGTCTTTCAGTGTCTCTGCCAATATTAACCATCCGAATCCCGTGTCTCCCAATCCCTTCCGTACATCGTTAGAGCGATTTCAACGTCGTCCGAGTTGGCCGTTTACATGTGCGAAAATGACCGTGGCCGTGTGCTGTGTGGTGGCCGGAACAACAACAGCCTTGGGAACACTCATGATCGTCGGAAGGGACCTGACTGACTGACATCACCGTCCCGTTTGGGCACGATAGCGTTTGTTGACACCTGTTGTGTCCGAAATTTCCCTTCTTACGGACCGACACGCGAAGTTGGAGCCCTTCTGTCATCGTGATCTGATTCTGCTCCCTTCACGGCCGGTCCAACCTTTTGCTTTCTTCGCCGCGGTCATGAATGGGTCAGCCGACCCTGCGGAGACACCACCCCTACCCCGCTTGCACGGAGACGGCGCTGCTGGTCCCGCCGTCGAATCCGAATCAGACCCCACGCTCCCTTCTTCTTCTCCTCCGCCTCCGGACGATGATGTGCTCATTCCTGCCGGCAACGTCGCGCTCACTGATACCGTGTCTCCCGAGGAAACGACGCTGGATCGGGTGGCCCGAGAGGGCGATGAGGACGGGCTGCTGACTGTGCACACGAGCGACCTGAATGGCGACGACCTGATGCTCGAGACGGTGGGTGGACAGGCGGACGAGGCACAGGAGTGGTACCAGGATCCGCAGGAGCAGGAGATGAAACGCGTCAAGGTGCGTACCATGTGCCGCGTGCCGCGCCGCGAGCTCAATCCGGCTGTGTTGCTGTTGCCACCAGGTGTACGAGCTTGTTGGCCAGCGTTGGGTTGATCAGGGCACGGCGTTCTGCTTCGGGCAGATCTCAGAGGACTCGGACACGGCTCATTTGATTGCACGGTCCGAGAGGAACTACAACGAAGTTATTCTGTCCACACCCATACGCAGCACGGACGTTTATCAGCGGCAACAAGGTGCGTTGCGGCCGATGATGAAGCTGCATGCCACCGACTGATGAGACACAGACACGCTCATCGTGTGGACGGAACCAAATGGGGCTGACTACGCGCTCAGTTTTCAAGATCCCGAAGGCTGCGCTGAAGTGTGGAATTTCATCTGCGAAGTTCAACACCATCTCTCGACCGCTGAGGAGCCAGCAACCACGCTCGAGCCAGGTCCCAGCCAGCGCAGCAGCAGCGAACTTCCTACGCCTGAACTGGGTACTCTCGGAGACATTGAGCGGATCATCAAAGGCCTTTCTAGACAAAGCCAATTGAAAGACTTTTTGGCTGATTACATCATGCGCGAGGTAAGAGATCTTGCGCAGCGAGTTCGCTTCCTGTGATCTGACTTTTTGGCGTAGGATTACTTCAAAAAACTGATTAGCGTGTTTCGCGAGGCCGAGGATCTCGAGAGCGTCCGTGATCTTCACACTTTGTGTTCAGTCACACAAGCTATCCGTAAGTTACTGGTGATGCTGGTCATTGCCTACCGTGCCTCATCCTTTACTAGTCAACCTCAACGATCACAACCTCTATGAATACATTCTCGCTGATGAGCACTTTACTGACATCGTCGGGATGTTAGAATATGACCCTGACTTTCCGAACCACCGTGCCAACTATCGAGAGTTTCTGAAACAGACGTCCCAATTTCACGAACCCATTCCCATCAAGGATCTCGCCATGCAACGCAAGATCCATTACACGTATCGACTACAGTTTCTCAAGGACGTCGTGCTCGCACGAGCACTAGACGACTCGACCTTTAATGTGCTCAACTCGTGCATCATCTTCAACCAGATCGACATCATCACACACATGCAACAGGACGCCTCGTTCCTGCGCGAGGTCGTCCGGCTTTATGTCGACGAGGAAATGCTAGCGGGCAGGAACGGAGCGCAATCTCAGCACGGAGGATCTTATGCCTTTGCACCACCAGAAAATCTCTCGCCGGGGGACCTCATGCTCCGCCGCCAAGTCGTGTTTCTGCTGCAGCAGCTGTGCGCGATGGGCAAGAACGTGCAGCTGCCAGCACGCATGGCGCTCTTCCGGACTCTGGTCGACCGGGGGATCCTGTTCGCTGTGCAGTGGGCGCTGGGGCTCGAAGCTGAGAGCGACGCGTTGCCGGTTGTTGGTGCGGGTGGCGAGGTGCTCGCCGCTCTGCTTGACCACGACGCATTCGGCGTGCGGGGGCACGTGCTCAAGCAGGTTCTGGCCATCGACAAGGAGCGAGAGGCGAAGAAGCGCGGCGCTGATAAAGCCGAGACACTCGTCGAGCTTGTATGTCGACTCGTTGCGCGGAGCAAGAACTTTGCTGTCCAGAGTCAGCTGGGAGACGCCCTGAAAGTGTTCATGGACATTCCCCCACCGGGAGAGGCGGGTGCTCAGGGGCCTTCGGAGGCTGCGGTGCGCGTTGTTCGTCGCTGCTCGTGCCCAGTGCTGATGTTTTGCAGCCTGGCGGTATCCGCAATCAGCGGCGGGACGAGCCTGGTACGGAGCGATTCATGGATTACTTTTACAGAGACTGCATCGCCATCCTTTTCAAACCGATGATCGAGCTACCAGAATGGAAAACCGTCTCAGGTTGGTCATTTATTGTCTATATGTCTTTCGTTCTCTTTCTCAACTCCATGCAGATCCGATTTTCCTCCTCACCCGCGAAGAGACGAATCGCTTTACGTACCTGGCTGATCTGCTGCACAACTTTATCTCGCAGCACAACTTTCGCGCCTATTTTTACGTCGCGTCGTCTCAAATACTGGCGCGCGTGCCCACGTTGCTTCGAGCGCGAGACAAGCATTTACAGCATGGTGCGTGGGTGCTGCGCCCAAGGAGCTGTTGCTTATTCGCTTTCTTCCCTTCCAGCTGTCTGTCGGATCTTCCGATTATTGCTGAGGCTGAAAAATGCAAATCTGCACGTTCAGGTGATGAGGCACGATGCGTTCAAGCCGATTCTCGACCTGACGCTCCGGGAATCGCGGAGAGACAATCTCATTAGCGGGACGTGTCTGGACTACTTTGACTGCATCAGAAAAGTGTGTACATCTATTTAGTCATACGGGTGATGACTGGACTGACGGTGTGCGAATAGGACAACATGAAGGACATGATCAAGTTTTGCATGGTGCATCACGAAGCGGAGATTAGACAGCTTGCGAACACGGCTCTGGCAGGGTCGTGCTTCCAGCAATTCATCCAGCGGTGCGAGATGAACAATGAACCGCCACCGCCAGAAGGCACGCCCGTCGAAAAGTGGGTTCCTTTGTTGATCACAGCGCTTCTTGATCTCACTGCGTTGCAGGCCGGCGGAACCACGATGGCCCAGTTCTGTACGTGCCCAGGACACGGAGGAAGAGGACTACTTCAACGCAGACGACGACGAGGACGCCTACATCCCCCCGATCAGCCAGCACCAAGTCGTGCGCGGAGGGCTCAAGCGCAAACGGGCGAGCAGCAGCGTCGTGCCTCGCTCACCGTCGCCGTCGCCGTCGTTGGGATCGCTGATGGACTACGGAGAGGACGACGACGACGAGCTTGTGCCCGGGCCGTCGCCCAAACGGCCCATCGACCAGGATGATGAGGACGACGAGGACAACATGCTTGAAGCCCTCGTGCGCGGCAACGCCGGGCCGCGGCTGGGCGAGAAACGCCGGCGGCCGGAGGAGGAGGAGGAGGACGAGATGCTGGAGCGGCTGAGCAAGAAAGCGCTCCTGAAGACGGACGATCCGCCTGCAGCGAAGAAGATGAAGCTGAAGTTCGGATCGGCGGCGGCGGCGTCTATAAACGGCGCCAAGGACGGTGATACAGGGTAGTAGGCTCCGCCTGCTCGTAGGTAGTCAGTCAGTGTTTGTGCTTATGTTGTCCCCCACCGCTTTCATGTTTGCCATCTGTGATTATGTATTGCTTGTCTCGGGAGTGCAGTCCAGGGAGGAGGCGGACACCGGGTGTGTAAATCCATAGACGCAGATTCGGTGACGCGAGAACGGAGACGCGCTTCGCTAGACGATGATAGCTGTTGTTGCGTCGCTCCCTGAAACAAGGGCCCTCGATAGGGCGAATCATCACGCCACTCGTGCGGCCTAGTGTCCAGGATGTGTTGCGCGGTCTGACTGGTTGCAGGCGAGGAGTGTTCGAGTAATTCTGCGGGACTTCCAGTTTCGAGAAGAAGAGGCAGCAGTATGTATCGCTCGAGCTGCATCTCCCTCTCCCTCTGAGCGCTGCGTGCTGGTGTTGGCGGTGGTGGTAATCGTCGCAGAGTATGGGCCACATTCAGTGCCCTTCACCGATCAAGTACAAAGGAGAGCCTAATAAACATTGGTTGTTGCTTTGGGATATGGGCCGACCTAGATCTCGGAACCGTCTTGGCTGGGGAGGATGGAGGAACGGAGTAGCGCGCTAAGGATGCTCGTTTAGTCTATGTCCAGTTGCAGGCAAGAGATGTGGACAGCCACCTGCCAACCGTGTCTTTGCCTTGGACAGGCTACTCGAAGATCAGAGCAAGTTGGCATATACTCATTGACAGAATTATTCAGCCTATTCAATATCAGTGCCGAGATTTTCAAGGTCCAGTCGCCTTATCACCATATATCGATGCGGGTTGAAACTGGAGGGTCCGATTCCTCCAGTCCCGATTCATTTCAACAGCGAAAAGCACTACTGCTGCTAACTACTACAACGCTGGAGATCAAATCCGAGACCAACTAGATAAACTCATCTATAACACTCCGCGGTCTCCTGAATACACCCAACGGCTTATAATCGACCTCGAATCCAAACGCCCTCGGGCCGCCAATCTCGAGCCCTCGCGCAGTCGACGTCCACTTCTCCGAACCAGCGATACCGATGACGACGACGAGCAGCCCGTACCGATACTCAGGTGTCCCGATAGCTTCTCCGCTGGCTGCATCGCAGACACAGATCAAATCCGGCACGCTCGCCACCACCGTGTCGTCATCCGCCAGTGCTAGGATATTCTCGTTCTTGAACGGGATCTTGAGCGTGCCACTGAACTGGGGCTGGGCGGAAGCGCCCGGGCCGCTGCCGCTGACGTCGGCGGCGCTGATGACGACTTCGCCGTAGACGTGGCCATGGAGGGTCTTGCGCTCCACGGAGACGATTTTGCCTTTGAACAATACCTTGGCCGAGTCAGATCCGCCCACTTGCTCGATGATCGACTCGGCCACGGAATCTGTCTGATTTTTGCTCCGGCA